TGAGCTATATTATAGTTTATGTATATTCCGTAGGAAAAATGACCAAAATATGAATGTGCCCAAAACCTTTATAAAGACGTCCAAATATACGTTTTCGGACTCGGTGAACACGTTGGTTTTGTCAGATTTACTCTAACTAAGAAAAAAATTTGACCTAAATTTTCATGAGCTTATTATAGTTTATGTATATTGCGTGGGAAAAATTACCAAAATATGAAAGTGCCCAAAACCTTTATAAAAACGGCCAAATATACGTTTTCGGACTCGCTGAAAACGCTGGTTTTGTCAGATTTACTCTAACTAAAAAAAAAAATTTTTGTTCTAATTTTCTTGAGCTATATTATAGTTTATTCCCTAGGAAAAATTACCAAAATATGAAACTGGCCAAACCCTTTATAAAAACGTCAAAATATAAGTTTTCGGACTCGCTGAAAACGCTGGTTTTATCAGATTTACTCTAAATGAAAAAAAAAATTTTTGTCCTAATTTTGTTGAGCTATATTATAGTTTATGTATATTCCCTAGGAAAAAATACCAAAATATGAAAGTGTCCAAACCCTTTATAAAAACGCCTAAATACACGTTTTCCAACTCGCTGAACACGCTGGTTTTATCAGATTTACTCTAACTAAAAAAAAAAAATTGGACTAATTTGCTCGAGCTATATTATAGTTTATGTATATTCCGTAGGAAAAATGACCAAAATATCAATGTGCTCAAAACCTTTATTAAAACGCCCAAATATACGTTTTCGGACTCGCTGAAAACGTTGGTTTTATCCGATTTACTCTAACTAAAAAAAAAATTTGTTCTAACTTTTTGGAGCTATATTATAGTTTATCTATATGCCCTAGGAAAAATTACCAAAATATGAAAGTGCTCAAACCCTTTATAAAAACGCCCAAATATACGTTTTTGAACTCGCTGAAAACGCTGGTTTTATTAGCTTTACTCTAACTAAAAAAAAATTTTTGTTCTAATTTTCTTGAGCTATATTATAGTTTATGTATACTCTGTAGGAAAAATTACCAAAACATGAAAGTGCCCAGAACCTTTATAAAAACGGCCAAATCTACGTTTTCGGACTCGCTGAAAACGCTGGTTTTGTCAGATTTACTCTAACTAAATAAAAATTTTCGTCCTAATTTTCTTGAGCTATATTATAGTTTATGTACACTCTGTAGGAAAAATTACCAAAACATGAAAGTGCCCAGAACCTTAATAAAAACTGCCAAATATACGTTTTCGGACTCGTTGAAAACGCTGGTTTTATCAGATTTGCTCTAACAAAAAAATTGTCGTGAATTTTCTATAACTATATCAGAAAAATGACTAGTGTCCAAAAATTTTATAAAAACGTCCAAAAATACGTGTTCGGGCTTGCTGAAGACGCTGGTTGTGTCTGATTTACTGTAATAAAGCTATAAAATATATTTTATATATATTTCCTAAGAAAAATTTTCCAAAATATGAGATGACCTTAGAAAATCCAGAAAATTTTGAGAAATATCCAGTGTTTCGAATGAACCATTTATTAGCGAAACCTTGAGCGTTTTTTATCCATTTTAAACAATTCCAAAGGTACTGATGACAGAACCAAGTGTACCAATATTTTAAGAATTTGCAAAGGAATTGGTGAATGATGTCGTTGAAATTAAAAACTGAAATGAAACAATTTTAAAATACCCGAATAATGTAACATATGAACAATTGAATCTTCGTTACGATGATTCGAAATTTTTTTAATCATTTTTCTTTGCGGTACTCTTTCGATACAGGGACTCCAAGAATAGATATTGCATTTTAACGCACCGTGTATATAAGCTACCTCGTAATAATCATGTTATATCGAGAATGGCGTATTAACTTCGCCATTTTTTTCAAAAATATTGGGCAACTGTTAACAGATGGATAATTTCCGAGGTGTCTTAACAATTTACAACAGTCGATTCGTTCCATCTAACCGTCGTTCTGTGTCTATGACACTATATTTTACCAGGTGTGTCTCATAAGGTAAAACGAATACAAATTCCTCCTTTCAATATCCGAACGACCAATACATAATAACCATTATCACAATGGGTCTCTTATATTCAATATGTTTATAAATAGGCACCACGAAATTTTAATACAGATTAAAGATCATCTGACTGGTACTTTTAAATAAGCGGTAATATATTTAAATGTATTTGGATAATATAAAAAACCCATAAATTTGATTAGTTACAACGTGCTTTGATACAACTGATAACTCCACAACCCGAAGAAAAAATGCCGGGCATAATTTCCGGATAAATAAAATAAAACGAAGTAAATGGACCCTTGCATCAAATAAAATTAAATACTTTTACTTTTTTTTTTTGTTATTTCGTGTCACCCTGTGCGGGATGACGAAATTAAAATGTCAGATAACATCGAGTGGGAAATATTCCATTTGACCGGTCCTTTGTTCGTAAGTTCTTACCCCGAGGCCCTCCTCCGTCGATTTTTGTATTCCGCGCGATGTTATTTTTGTTAACAATTAGTCATGCGTAAGAATTTAAAATAAGTTTAAAATTCTGATCGCCTGTTACCCATGACCGTGCCATAGAACGAGTGCGACTTCAGTTCTGTCGCTCGACATTCCGCTGCCTCGGTTCAGTTAGCTTTGCTGTAGCAGAACTCCTCTGGATCTTCCTGGTCTGCGTGGAAAACAGACTCGAATCGAAGGTCTGTTAAAAATTTCGTCGCGATATTTGGGTGAACTTGCGGTAAAAATGCGCTATCGACGCGTAACATAAATAAATACAACTCCAAAAGGTTTTATTCCAAACAAAACTATCAAAATCCCGTGGTTGTGGGAGTGGTGCGTTTATCAGTAAATAAACAAAACGGGAATGTTTCAACCAGCGTTGCCAGACGACAAAATTAAATGTCCCGCACCGGGAGACGCTCAGTCCCGCTTTTCCCGCTCTTGTTTTGTTTTTTCTTTAGGCATCAATTATTTTCTCCAGGTCTGTTATTAAATAGATATTTCCTGATTACGTCCCCCCTTTTTTTTTTAGACATCGATTTTTTTTTGAAGATATCCTGATTTTTTGAGGCATCAATTATACAAAACCGTAGTAATGTCCCGTCGCTTTGCCCGAATAAAAATCTGGCAACGCTGGCTTCAACAGATCATCCCAGCTAATTACAACTGTCGGCGTTGCCAACTGTTGTTATAAAAATACTAAAGAGCGAAGATTTTCCTGGATCCCTCTGTACATTCTTAGGTAATTAGCAGCGGCGGTATTTATATTTCTCAATCCGACGAAAATTATGTGGATTACGTTTTCCCTCAATGATTTAAAAATAGCGTGCTAGGGGTTAGAGGTTTATGAATTTCTAATGAGGATTGCGATGAAGTACCTGTGGAAGTGACTATTAATTTTTATCGAATGTTTAGTAAATCATTTATAGGGTTGTTTTTCCCTCGGATAAAAATAATAAATCGCGAGAATCATTACCCGTAATATCGCCCTCGGTGCAGAGCCGGTTCCGTTCAAACCGGTTCTAGGACGGCGTTTGGAAAATAATGGTCGATTTATTTATAGTCGCGTCTTTAATAATTACCTTCTAATTTTGAAAACTGAGGTAAATTTAGCCTACAGTCGTTCATTTGTACCCTCTTTTCGTTTGGCGAATAGTGGGGTGCTCTCGTAAACGAAAATTTGTTTTTCTTCTACAAAAACAGATACAGGGTCGGAAAGTCCCCATGGTTCATCGGCCGTTACGTGGATGAACCATGGGGACTTTCCGAACCTGTATAAAGAAGGCATACATGTTTTTTGATAGGAATCATGTCCAAAAGCGCTGTGACTGCACAAACGATCGCGAGAAAACATTTTCGCGAATTTCCGAGATACTGGCAGCTCTACATCGCCATCAATCCTGCAGGAAGCTGCCAAAATTTCACACACCTTTCCAAACCTCGCGCGGACCTCACTGATGTACACATTGCGGAGCCAGCGTCGAGGGTGATTGAACGTCAGCCCGAGGACCATGCAGTTCGATACCAGTCCCAAATTCTCGTATATATCTTGTATGCAGATATTACATACATTCCATTTATTAAAAGACTTAACGTATGCTATCGGGACAAACTGGAGTAGGAAACGACCTGTCGGATGCAAAAAAAAGGACGCATTATAGAACTTGAAGTGATTCACCGTGTGAGTTATTAAAAATGTACCCAGTGAGCTTTCGATTGTTCGCAAGGCGGTGTAGTTCTAATTACAAATCGAGGCTATCAAGGTCAGGTATTTTTACTATGTAAATTATCTTTTATATGAAAGACAGGAACCGTCAGACAATAGTGTAATATTTTTTTTTGTAAAACGAATTTCTGAAGGTAATACCTTAGCGGTCTGGTCCCCCCGTTTTAGCCGATCATTCTGAGATAGACAATTAAGTGAGTATAGCTATGAATTAAATAAGTCATTAGTTTTTTTATGCTGTCATTACGAAGATAATAAAAAATTGTATCAGGAAACTACCGTCGACGGGTATCACGAGAGTTACCATGGTAGCATTTACTTTTTTTTTTCGGTCTACGTGAGATCTGTTTTCGACGAACGTTGGAAACTAATCGAGTGGAAACCGCGGCAGTTCAGGACATTTAAAAGCAAGCTTTAATAATAAATTTATTAAATTATCGGAAACAGTTATAGGAATTCTCGTTTTACGTATTTATCCGCATTAAGTTTAATCCAGCTATTAGTATTTAGGTCAGTCCAACTGCACTAATAAACATTTTTCCGTTGTCATCGTTATAAATGTTTTCTATTTCAGATGGAAAAAACTTGGCACACCGGCAGCGAATATGAGAGCTTAATAAACGTTTATATAAAAACGGAGATGATCCAATATTATGTATTTTATAAATAGAAATAGAACTTGCGATGTTTTTTTCGGACAAAAAAGCTTTATTTGTATTTCGAATTAACCGCAGTATTAACCCGTTTACTTTTTTGTTGCAGACGATACTCTGGAAATGGATGATTCGATAGAACAGATATAAATATTTGCTACAGGTAACAATTTACTTTATTTTTATTTATTTTTTGATCAGCATAAACTTACTTAGATTTAACGACAGTGTATTTACTTGAAAACGTCGAGTTCTACCCTAATAACTGAAGACGGTGGAATTACATGTAATACGGGGAAACTTGGATATTATTCAGATTACAGTAATTTGGACGAAACTTATTAAGGATAAATGACCATATCCTACAATAATTTCTGTGCATAACAATAATTCTAAGCGGTTATTATGCTGTTACCTTCTTTCCTGCCACCTCAGTGTCCGTAAAGAATCGTAACAACAAAGAAAAAACATCTTGGATATTGCCTGATTTTTTCGCCTGACTTTCGAGTGTCACTAGACCCCAATTTTTTCTTAACGGAATAACTTCTGTAACTATAAATATTAGGAACTTTTTTTATGTATTACACAGCTGTGTTGATATAATTTTTTAATTGATCAAGTCGAGTTTAAAGAAAAACTGAGATTAAATTTAATTTATACACGCACTATATTCAATTTGTTCTATAATTTTACAGATTTTGAAATTTAATTATTAATGTTTTAATTGTCTCCTTTTTTATTGACACTACCAAATTATGTTTCTAATTTCAAGCCACAAATTAATTCTTTTTTTAGAGTTAATCGAACAAAATTTTCACGAAAATTACGTCATTTGTAACAATAAATCGCGTCACCTGTTATTAACGAAAGGTATTTTAGTTCCGCTGACAAAGCTCTCCTTTAATAAAGGTGGTTGTGAGGAGAAAAAAAAAGTGTTCGGGTTTAGAGGAAATTCCGCCATCATCATCTACAGAACAAATGTATCGAAGGGTCGTTTTTGTATTGTTAAACGGAAAGCGACGGCTAAATTGTCGAAATTAATATTGCCTCATCAAATAATAAAAGAAATATATGTAGACGTTCGCTGGCTGATGTTATCGCGGCGCCCTTTTGGCAAGCTCCCGGAATTGCGGTAATTTCGTGTGGAATTCATCGTCAGCACTTCCCAATTTAATATCGAAACAGAAAAGGAAGCGTACACTCTTTAAGTCCAATATCCCTCTCGACGACGGCGTGGAAAAAACCACCACGTGCTCCCAGCTCAAGCACGCGGTTATATGGGGTGACAAATAGTTAATAAACATATTACACCCTAGACGACTTTCTGCCCTCTACGTAAGACGGCTGAAGCGGTTATAAAAATTTAATTTTAATGTCAGGCAAGTTTCCTCCCACAGTTCGGGAAAAATATTTTTCTCCAACCAAAGGTTAAACAACACAAGGGTGTTCCAAATAGGCCCGAACCCCCGACAGCTTTTTCCTATCAAATAAAAATCAGATATCAAGAACCCAATATACTGTTGATCTTCGATTTGACCTTGGCCTTAAGTTTCAAAGTTAAACCAAGGTCATCCTGAAAATATGAGATGGGATACCCTATTTTCTAGGCTAACAATCGATAGAGTCATATTTTGCGTCCGAATATGGGGGTCGGAAAATTTTTCGTGTATGCCCTTGCACGTCAGTTGGAGGTCAAATTCATTTTTCCCTGAATAACTCGACAAAAGGGTTCAAGTAAATTTTGTAGAATTTTGAACGACAATAAACTTGACCTTCACCACAAGTTGCAAAGTCAAACCAAGGTCAACTTAATATCTATGCAGCGCCGACTTTATATCGGAATCTGGAATCTTCCATTATGTCTTTGCGGGTCATTTAAAGGTCAAACTCATTTTTTTCTTAGTAACTCGACAAAACTAAAAAAAAACTTCTAGGATTTGATAAATTAAAGTGCGACCTTGGATTCGACTTAACAGCTGATTAGAATGACAATACCATCAGTATTTAATTATTAACCTAACAGTGTTTAAATTCAAAATTGTTGTCAAGATCATAATAATAGTTTCAGTTAAATACGACTGTTAAGTTACTTTTATATCCATTATTTTTTGTAAAAAATAAATTTGTCCTTCAAATTACCTCCAAGGACATCCTAGAAAAAATCTTTGATTCCGACAAATTTTGCACTGTCTGTTGTTGGCGGAAAAAAATAGCGTATTCCATTTGATATTAGTTGACCTTGCAACTTGTGAAGGTTAAATCCAAGGTCACCATCTAATTTGTTTTTTTCTCAGTAACTCGATAAAATTGAAACAAAACTTGCAGGACTTTGAATGGTAAATTAAAGTATGACCTTGGATTCGACCTAACAGCTGATTAGAATGGCAGTGTCATTAACCTTGAGTGTTAAATTCAAAATTGTCGAGATCATAATAATAATTTAAGTTTAATACGTGTGTTAAGTTCTATTACTTTTATATCCATTATTTTTTTGTGAAAAATGATTTTGTCCTTCAAATTACCTCCAAGGACATCCCAGAAAAATCTTTGATTCCGACAAATTTTGCACTGAGTCTTGTTGCTGGCATAAAAAATAGTGTATTCCATTTTATATTAGTTGACCTTGCAATTTGTGGTGAAGGTTAAATCCAAGGTGACCTTCTAATTTGTGATGGAGAATCCTATGAATTTAGCTTGAAACGGTTTTGTCGAGTTTATTCAGAGAAAAATGGGTTTGACCTCCAAATAAGTTTCAAGGGCATATAGTAAAAATTATCTGATCCCATATTCAGACTTAAAATTTAGCTCTTTATCGATTGACATGAAAAATAAAGTGTTCCATTAATATCTTAAAGTTGACCTTGAAACTCAAGGTTAATGTCAAGTCAAGGTCACCAGCTAGTTGGTTTCTTACAACTTTTTTCTGAAACGTTGAACTGTGTACAAAGAAACAGCTAAAACACCTGCGCAGTTTCTGACAATCATCACTGTAGTCCGAAATTTTGTAGAATTGTTTATAAAACTTATCTACCGCTAAGCTAATGTCACATTGTGTTAAAGCCGATTGCAAATAAAGAATTATATGTAGAAACAATTTCATTGTTGGCTGCAATTAAATTTCTAGCTCTTGTCAAGGAAATAATATGAAATTTGTGAGATATTAGCGTTAAAATGACCTAGACGTCTACACTGCGAAAAATAATTTAGTTGTTTGTAATACTCGAAGAAGTAAATTTCCTGCGCTCATGGTAATTATAAATTTAATATCGGTTCTTGCACTATTATACGAAAAACTTGATTGGAGCGTTATTAACGACAAAGACGGGCAAGTGTGAATTAGGAACAATCGGGAGAACGCACTCGAAAAACCAATATCCCCTAAACGAGGCGAAAAAAAGCATCATGCGCCTATCAGAGGGGTGACAAAATAGTTAATAAACATTATATTGCCGCCGATTTGGTCCCCCCACGCATCAGGCACGTGTATGACTAAGGCCACATGATATGCAGTTATAATTCGGAAGATAAATAGGGGTTGACATATATATTCTCCTAGTTTTTACATAAATTGTCGCCCCTAGACGGAGCGTATGGCACACCATTGCACCAGGATTCATTGTTATGCGAATAATAAAAGGGCCCCCCCTCTCTTGGCCCTTGCCACTGTTCCGAAATGATAAGCGGCCCCGGATGACTCGATTGTTACTTGCGTTCAACTAGAATGGGGAATGAAACAATTTCCAATTTTCTTCCGTTTTATATTTTATCCGAAAAGCACTGCTCTCGGATTACTTTTGCTTTTGATGTGGAGATACGATATTATATTTGTACAGGAGCCTATCGGTTTTTAAGTCCCGTTTTTAATATATAGAAAATGTAAGAGCGCGGATTCTTTGACCTGAAAGAAAAATTATTGCGATGAAAGAAGGCAAGGTAAACATTCTAAGGCGCTCGCGATGGCACTCTTATAAAATACCTCCGTATAGATATTTGTCGTAGGTATAGAAGATCTCTTCAGTTCTGAAGCCGCATTGAATCATTTCGCATTTTATTTTCACGGCAATCTCGAAATTGAATGGATTTTTCCTTTGGTATCTATAAGTATCTCTAGCCTTTGCTCCGCAATACGCTTAGGACCCTATTGCCTAGCTCTGAAAGCAAATACCAATAAACACACATATTTTTTCATATCCTCATCCCATATTTACTCTTTGTTGCAGTTTTCAGCGTCTGTTTCTATTTTTAGTAAGAAATATTAGATTTTTAAATAATAAATTTAAGTCATATCCGTATTGTTAATTTTTAACTGTGTTTTGAATATTTATTTGCAAGTATTGTAGTTTTCTCAGTGTATATACTACTAAAAACGTTACTTAAGGGGTCGTTCTCTCAACTGCGAAAAAAATGGAAATATTTTAACATTTTTGGGGGATTTTTTTTAAATTTAGATTTTAAATTTTATTTCACTTATGTGACGTTACTAAGCTAAAAATTGGGAAAACAAAGCACAACGTACATTTTATTTGTTCACTACTTAAAAGTTATTGTTTTAAGTTATATTCGTGTTATATTTCATTGATATTTTATTATACATTGCATACAGGGTGTCCCAAAAAGAACTTAACCCCCCTACCCCCCTTATACTGATGATCTTGGATTTGACGTTAACCTTAAATTTCAAGGTCATTAGATCAATTTGAAAATAATATGGGGTCATTTTTTTTCGATAGGACACAATTCGGAATAGTTGTCAGGGGCGTTCGGATCTTCGCGACACCCTGTACATTTAAAAGGCAATTATAATGTAGCCAACATGTTGCACAGTTAAAAAATGTTCGCTGTGAGCTATTTCTTGCCTCAGTTGCATTAATTTCAATAGAAAAACATCCAGATTCCATTAATTAGCTATCTATAAAATTAACTACAGGTTCAGCGTTCGTAGTCGTAAAATAAAGAGAAGAATATATCTTGGCCTGTAATTAAACTTGTCATAAAGCCGTTGTTAATTGCTTTGGCATTGTTTATACAGAGAGCAAGTATCGATTTCCACGACATTTTCCATGCCTCCAACTTCGAGCAAATATTGAACTATTAGAACTTTTTTCTTTTGATATATTTTTTTTCTGGCGGTGTTGTTATTGACACAGACCGGGTACTTTGTCA